CAAAATTTTTGCAGTGAGTAACAATCTATAATGAAAGAGTTTAGTAAAGAAATCACTAAAGTGTTGAAATGCCTTTGAAAGTTTATGCAACAGTTTGACTCTACCATCTTGTTTGACTCTACCGTCTTGTTGCTCGATGATTGGTTCACAGTTCCGATTAGATTCTTCAATACGTCACCAAACAACGAATTTAAGAAACTGGTTAAACAAAAACGGGTCAAAATATCATGAGCTTAAGTGGTCAATTCAGGAAAGAATCAAGACATTCTTTTAATAAATATGTAAAATTATATAAAAATAAATATTTACAGGGTGTGATTGCGAGTAACCCAAGGGTTGCTTTAACAAGTTAAGCAGTTTTTTTAAGGAATGATTTCTTTTTATTAATTTAAAATACAGTTTGTTGTGCTGTTTGATGCAATTCTTTCTGCTCTTCATTCTGATTGGTGAAGCTAAACTTTTCCTAAAGATCTGAGGTATGTGCTGAAAACCTAGTTGGTTCTTTCTCACTGGTATATTTTTTCGCAGCTTTAAATGGCCAATTAGAATTATCTTGTTCTATCTCCACTTTCTGAAAAAATTGAGTTAATGATAGCGTTGTGTTCCTCAAAATAATGTCATTCTACTGAATTGAAATCTAAGTTATAAGTAAAAAAGTTGCGGAAAAAACATTATTAATGTGGTGATAGAACAAGATAATTCTAACGTCGCGTTATGTAAATAATTCTGCTAAAAGATTATATACCATTCTAATGGTATATAATCTTTTAATTGCTTTTGCTTCGGAAATACAAAAAATACTAAAAATAGTCACAATTTTCTCAATGCAGATGATTACAGAAGATACAGATAATCACAGAAGATGAAGATGATCACAGAAGATGCAGATAATCACAGAAGATGTAGATGATCACCGAAGATGCAGATGATCACAAAAGATGCAGATGATCACAAAAGATGCAGATGATCACAAAAGATGAAGATGATCACAGAAGATGCAGATGATCACATAACATGCAGAAGACCACAAAAGATAATAATGATTTTAAAGCTTCTTGTTTATAAGAACATAATTATTTAAACTTATTTTCTTATTTATTTTGCTTATTAGAATTATTAAAACTTTTTTAATTAAAATTATTAAAAGATTGTCAGCCTTAAGAAAAGTTTAAAAGAAACCTTACTTGATGACTTAGTGCCTTTAAAAAAAAGAAAACAGTGTCTAAAAATTTGCTGCTTGTTTTTATGGTTAATAATATTAAAGTTATACAAGTTTTTAGCGGAAAACCACAGTACTTTAATTATCAGTTCATTTTAGTTAAAACGAAAAACCAATTTTAACTAAAATAAACTTTTTTTTTGACCAAAGAATACTTTTTTTAAACATTATTTGAGTTTCAAACAATTCTTGAGATTTCAATTCCTGCGAAATTTTTTTGACCAGTTTCTAAACATTTTTTTGAGCATGTTTAATCATTTTGCCACAGATTTATAACTTACGAATTTTACATGAAAAAAAATTCACGTCAAACTACACTTTGAAATCAGTATTTTTCCCTAGACAATGAGTTTTACTCAATTTGTAATAATACGAAAAACTTTTTAAAAATACAGTTAAACTATATGCCTTTTTTTTTTTTTTTTTTGAAAAAAAAAAAAAAAGCTCAATTGTACTCATTTCATAAAGAAACAAGTTTCTAATATAAAAAAATTTTTTTTTTCACCCTCTTTTTATAAAAAGACGAGTGAGCTTCTCAGTGTATATCTTGTTTAAGTCATGTATAGTTTTATCTAGTCTAAAAACTTCCCCTAGACATTAAAAGTTGATTACAATAGCCTAGCTGTACTTAAAGAAATGATAACAACAAAGTAAGTCAATATTTTTATTTTTTCGTTACGAAATAAAAACATTGACTCGGCAAAAAAAAAGCAACACTTTTATGAATAAAAACAACGCTAATAACAAAATAGTTTATATCTATGTTTTTATTCATTTTGGTAATGTAATCAAATCGTAACGTTTATATATATGAGAAGGTTATAATTTAAATGAAAGTCTTGACAAGTTTTTGAGTATATGTGATTATTTTAATAATTAAAAACTTCTAATATAAACTAAAACTTCACTAAAAATATTAGAAAACTTAAATTTTATTTCAATTATAACAATTTTTTTAAGTAACATTTTGCTTAAAAACACGTTTTTTTTTTTTGATAAATTTACGGTAAAGTGAGTGTATACAATAAACATGTTAAATTCGATATAATTTTTAATATTTAGGCGTCAAATTTAAGAATGAATGCAAAACTGGTATATGCAATACTTTTGGCAGTTTTAAGTGTTTTTATAGTACTTATCAATTCCTTATGTGTCAACGTTATCATGACGTCTAAGCGTCTCTTGCAAAATCCACCAACGCTTTTGATTGCAAATCTTATTGCAGTTCATTTGATCCAAGGATTAATTGTGGTACCTTTATACGCAATTGATATGTTTTATGTAAATAAATGGGCTTGTGATTTTTATCGGTTTTCTTCTATGCTTACATTTTATGGATCATGCATTGGTGTTGCTTTGCTTAGCATTGATAGATTGCTAGCGATCAAAATGCTAACATCATACCACCTTACTGTTACCAAAACCCGTGTTATAAAGTTGATTATATTTAGTTGGATATATATTGGTGGACTTTGTTTAATTCCGTTTCTTCCATTAAAAATGGCTAAACCTATCCTTCTAACAAAACAATGTAGCTACAATCAACCTAAAATTTGGTCCATTTTAATGCTAGTGGTTAATGCATTTTTGATTTACCTGTTTGTTGTATTTTCTTACATTTTAATCCGTCGAAAGTTAATCAAAATATGTACTTTTTTAAACAAATCAACCAGTAACAATCAGTATGTTAGTAGTATCAAATCAACAAGGTCGCTAAATTTTTCTAAAACTACTTTACTAGTCTTGTGGTTAGTTTTGTGTTACGCAATCACCTGGGCACCGACAATTGTTTACTTGCTCGTTCAACATTTTGAGTTGGCTCCATCTTTTTTTAATGAAAAGTTCTATAAATCGAGTATAGGCGAAATACTTACTTTTTTTGTGAAATATGTTAATTTCATTGATGCAATCATTGCTCCCATCATATATTGCTTCAATCATCAAGAGTTTCAATTAAAACTTAAAGCTAAAGTTAGGAAACTTTCAAAGAAGAAAAAGAAGAAGTGCATTACTAGCGAGAGTGATATAGATTTTAAAAATATTTCTTTATCAACATTAGCTCAAAGTTGCAATGCTTCAACAAACTCAGTTTTGCAATAAAGTAATTTTATTTATGATTGATACAGCATAATTATAACTGATACAACATAATTATTGAGTTAAAATGATATTTTTAAGAGAACATTGTGTAGTCAGCATAAGTAATATTTACTAAGTTGCAACTAGAATTACATCATTTGAGTACCACTTTATCAACTTTTTTTTTTTCAACAACTGTTTGTTTTTTGATAACTAAAACGATTTTGATGGCTCTTAGTTAAACAAAGTCATTTAAAATTTCATGTTAATATTTGGCTCCATAGCGTTAACTTAAAAATACCGGTTACTGGTTATTAATAAATGTCGAAAATCGTTACTAGAAGTCATCCATAACCAGCGGAACCCCATCAAATACAATTAGCGGTTATCAACCATAAGTTGTAGTGATTTTTTTAAACCTCAAATGCCAGCTACTAATAAAGGTGACGCAAAACTGAATAGGTCGCTTATGCTTTCGGCAAAACTGTATAGATTGCTTATGCTTTATTTATTATTTTTCTATTTGAATTTTATGATATATTTTGCTAAACAGTTTTTCATATCCGAAGATATATTTGACTTAGAATAGAAACAGCAACCAATTGTCATTAAGATTAACCCAA